GAAGTGAAATTGCTGGATCACATGTTTAACTTTCAGAGGAACCACGAAAGTGTTTTTCACAGTGGTGGCACCATTTTATACTCCCTCCAGCAATGCACGAGGGTTCCAGTTTCTCCATATTCTTTGCTAACACTTATTTTCCGGTTTTCTTGGGGAGGGGTTGATAAAACACCCAAATGGATATGAAGCGGTATCTCACTGTCGTTTTGATCTGCAGTTCTCTATTGAGTACTGACATTAAGTATCTTTTCGTGTGCATACTGCTATTTGTATACCTTCTTTGAAGAAATGTCTATTCAAATTCTTCACCCACGTTTCAATTGGATTTTTTGTTGCTGTTACTCAGTTGCAGGTGTTCTTTATATAATTTATATATTAATCTTTTCTTACAGGATTTGCAAATATTTTCTTGCACTTTGTTGGCTACCTTTTCACTATCTTGATAGTGTCCTTTGATGCAAAGAGGTTTTTAACTGGATGAAGTCTGATTTATTTTTCTTTTATGGCACTGATTACTAATCATAATTTTAAGTTTGCATACTTTAGCTTATTTGCTATGTAGATGCTAGAGTTTTGTGTCATGTTTATGAACATCTTCCTTTTTTGCCATTTTAATAAGTAGTCAAAGGATTGCGTGTTGCTGTAGAAAATTACATTATGTATGTTCATGAGCTTTGCTGTCTGCTGAAATATGCATATATAAGATAGTTCTTAATTATCTACCCCAAATTTTCTCTGTGAAACAGAAATGATTTCCATTTAAAGTTATAATTAATTTGAATCACTGAGACTATAGTAGAAGCAATAGTGATAGAGATATACAACTGAGCACGGGCTTTTATGTTTTAAGGGAAAAAAATTTTTGCCCGAAAACAGTAGGCATCAAACTTTACAGTCTCTGGACCCCTTAACATTTTAAAAACTTATTTAGACCTCTTAAGAGCTTTTGTACATGTAGGTTATAACTATCAATATTTACTGAATTAGAAATCAAAACAAAACAATAATTTTAAACACTTATTAACTCATTTTAAAAAAGCAATGAATAATATATTGCATATTAAAAAATTACATCATCATATTACTATGAAGATAGTTTTCATTTTTGGATCATCTGAGACAGAACTGTAGTCCTAAAGTAAAGTATCAGTTCTTCCAGAATATTTGAAAGAACATAATGAAGGATAAAACCAGGAAAGTGAAGTTTATTTCCTTTGATTTACAATGCCTGAGCCTAAAAGTAAGTTATAAAACATGTTAAAATATCAACAAAGTTCACTTAATTTTGATGGCCTTTTCCCCCTGGCTTATTGATCAATACCTTTATCTATTATCTATGTAAACTGCCTAGATAGCAGAGATGCTGTGTCTTATCAGAATACTTTTCTGTGCTATATGTTTATTTTATTATCTGCTTGAGTATTTAAGTGGAATAAGAAAGAACAAAAAGTTTCTCACTTATGAAGGAATTAATCCTTAACTGTGCTACCTCTTATGCTTTTAAAAATGTTTGATTGTCATTTTAATTAAAAAGGCAACCAAAAATTATTTCTCAGGCATCCATTACCCTACCTTAAATCAGGTATTCAAATTTCCTCTGACAACTCTCTTTGAATCCTAAATATGGAATAAATCTTTTAAAAATTTCAGGGTATCTTTCACTTAAAACTATCTTTGAAATTTCCCAGCAGGCTCCTAGTAATCACAAAAGTTTGTTGTTTCAGCATAGATAAAGAGTGATGAAAGATATACTTAGGTTTGTTACATGTGTTACAACTATAAATTTCATGGGAAACTGTCACATCAAAAGAGAAGTCCCCTGGGAGTTCAAAATTTGTAGATACTGACAGGCATATGCAAAATAGATAAACAAGATTATACTGCATAGCACAGGGAAGTATATACAAGATCTTGTGGTAGCTCACAACGAAAAAAAATGTGACAATGAAAACCCACACAATTTTGTAAATTCTGATTTCTTAAAACTAAAATGAAACATTTAAGAATGATACTTGATTCTCACTGATTCCCTCAGAATTCTTACTAAGTCTGTTAACTTTTCTGGACAATATAGTGATTTCCATGGATTGAATAAGAATGTCTTCCTTTTAAATAGGATATAATTAGAGAGATTGATGGCGGAACCAAGGACTTATCTGGAGTGCCATGTTTGAGAATAGTGCTCATTTAATCAGATGTTGACTACCACTTCTGAAGAACAAAGACTGGTTGTACTCACAAAGCGAATACCTGCAAAGCCCTCCCAGGAAAAATGACCTGTTACCTAGAATACAGGGTCTCATCCTTGCATTTGGTAAGGAAGGTCACTTATATATGGTAATAAAATTTTGGTGACCTTGATTAGAGAGGAAGTCATCTAATAACAGGTACTTGCAAATGAAATATGGTGAAGTGAGTTTCCTGGGCTTGGTTTTACTGGAATGTCAAAAACAGAAACTTTTAAGTAAAAGCAGAATCTGAGATTTCCTATGGACAACTTCCAGATTAAAGTTAATTTTGCAGCCTCAGTATTTGCAAAGCAAATTCAAGGTCTATACGGTTAATTAATAACTTGCTGCAGCTAAATAATCAAGAGACCAGCCAATTTTTTTGCATCAACAATCATGTTTGGGGTATAGAGATTTGTCAGAAAAATGAGCAAGAAAGATTATTAAATGTCTTGATCTGTGTATCCTTCTGGGCAATCTTCACTTTTTACCTTCACTATTTTACAACTCTGCAAGTTATAGAAAATGGATACTAATGCAAATTATTGTCTATACAAATGCAAATGAATTTTGTTCTGAGAAAAAAAAAGTGATTATTGCCCTGTGTATATTGACAGTTTTGTATCTATTTTAAAATCCATTCCAGCCTATGTGACTGTTGATATATGTATGTGTCCTTTGATTTTTTTTCTTTGAACTGGTTTAACAGCTTACTGTTCTCTAATTAATTAGTTAACTAAAATCTTTGACACTTATTTTATATTTCTATGAGTGTAATGATTCAACCTTTAAAAATACTATCCTTTCACACTAACATTATCATACCGTGTTCTTCAAAGTGTTTGATTTCATAGATTCATCTAAATCTATTTCTGATTCCAGTGGTGCTTATAGCTTAAAGATTTGTTGCTTGGATCAGTAAACTTCCAGAGTAAATATATTCTATTGTTCATAATTCTTAGATTGTGCAATGCATTTTATCTTCAAGTATTCTAAACTGAGGTCCCAAAATCATAATTCTCATTTTTGAGGAGAATTTGTAACTATCTAGTCATCTCCTAGAACATCATCCTTTGTCTTTCTCTTGCACTGAGAGGTGCCATAGTAGAGAGATTAAGAGTTCTGATTCAGGAGCCAGGCTGCCTGGACTCGAATACCAGTTCAGTCACTAGTTATATGTCCTGAACCACTTTGTGCTTCAGTTTTCTCATAGGTAAAAGACAATGTATGTAAACTGTTGATATATGTAAAATGTTTTAAAGAGTGTCATTCAATTAATATTATTTTAATATACCAAAATCCTTAGGGATAGAAAGAAACAATAAAACCACATACATATAAAATGTATATTCTTCAATTTTCTGACCAAAACTTTGTGTCTCTGGTCTTTTGTAATGGTGTCATTTATTTCCAGGCAAGTATGTAAGAATGGCAGGTTGCTAACTCTAAGCATTTTCTCTCATAAGTTCCAAATAAATGCTCTAGGAAGACAGACTCTTCCTGACTGGCTATATCAACCTAACATATTGTTTCCTCTATATTCTTTACCAAAAGGAAATCAGCAACTCTTTTTCCTTCTAGGGCAAACAGCAGATTTTCCTGCATCCAGTGGAGCCTGGGGAACACCATTATTGTGTGGGATTTCTCCAGATTTAATTTCTGTCAGTAAGACATGGTTTCCTGTTATGTATCTCCAGGGTGATCTTCCCTCTTTGTCTCAAATTTCTCATTGCCTCTCATTATGACTTGGATTTCTGAACCTTAAGGCTGCAAAGTTAAGTTATAATCTCTTCAGATTTGGATCCAGTCTCCTTGCAAAGACCTTTACATTTACTTGGTAACCACAGAGGGGCAAGATTTATTTTCCTTCTGTGTGTCACACTCCGCTACTGTTTATCTTCTTGAATCAGGTTTCTCACACAAACATGAAACTTTAGGGATTCCTATTCGACATATTTCTGTTATTATAAGGAAGACTTTTCAGCTCTTTGATGAGATAGTACATACTGAGATAAATTAGTTAAGATGCTTTTTCACTGTAGACAACAGTTTACCCTTCTCTGTCTCTAATTAGTTGTTTTTTTAAAGTAATTTATTGGCTTAGGTAACTGAAAAGTCAAGAGGTAGGTGTAATTCAACAGGGACTTGAGTAAGTGGTTGAACAATGTGACCAAGACCCCAAATCTCTCCCCCCCCACCCCTTTCTCAGTATTGCTTCTTTACTGTTGGCTCCATTATTGGCAGGCATTCCTTTCATGGTTCCATAACGGCAACTTTTAGAGTTATACATTTCCTCATTCATATCCGGTAGGAAACAGAGAGTCCCTGTCCCCAGTAGTTCAAATAAAATCTAAGAGATGAGACGCACTTGCTCTAACTGACCTGAATTACATGTTTTTTTAACTAAAAACTGTGACTACATGAAATGTATACGCTGATGATATTAAGCCAATCTACCCTGGAAGGTTAGTTAATACCACTCAAACTGGGAAATGTGTAGTATTAGGAAGAGGGAATGGGAAATGGCTGCTGGAGAGGCAACTAATTAATACCCACTATGAGAGGCATTCCTCAAGCCTCTTTATTTCCTGAAAAAGCAAGATAATCAGTTTGGCAATCACCAACAATCAGATTACTAGGAATTAACTATTGAAGAGTCAGTACCACTGATCAGGTTTCGCTTTCTTAAGTGTAAGAAGTGGATAATTGAGTTAGGAAAGTAAAGAAGCAAAAAAAGAAAGAACTCTTTATGAGCTGGAATAATTCATTTATATTTGTATTCTGAGCCTTGTATTCATATTTGTATTCTGAGCTTGTATTCATAGCACCTAGAAAGAACTGTGTAATAGTGTACTCAATTTACAAAGTTTATAATTTCCCCAATATATCTTATTTGCTAAAATAACCTCTTGTGACATGTAATTACCATTATAGATGAGAAACTGAATTTTAAATCCTAAGTAATTTGCCTCAAATATTAATTGGTAAAGTCAGAGCTCCTATCCAGGTCTCTGATTTTAAGTTACATAATTTTTACATTAATCCAAATTAATCCAAATTGCTTCACATGCCTTAGAATGTGACCAGCTGAAGGAAATTGTGGTTCTTCTTCAATAGTTAATCAGATCCCCCCTTTCAAAATTTAATTTTTAAATTTTACATTGGTAAAGCTTGTGAAACCAGACAAACAGTTCATAGAATTATTCCAAATGACTGTTATCATGTAGAGATCTGAAACACTGGCAACAAATTCAGGGTAATCCAAGCCAATGAGGCTCATGAATGAAGTTAGTGCCAAATAAATCATTCACAGAGATAACATTTTTTTTAGGAGCACAAAAACATTAAACACCTTCGTGTTCATTATTTTCTGTTACCTCTTTTGTCTTTTTCATTTTTTTTATGAATGCTAGATCTGAAGAACAAGAATATTATATTCACTGATGTACAGCTCTCATTATCATTTGTCAAAGGAAGCACAAAAACATGAATCTACTTACAAAACTGAGTATTTGTCAAAAAGACCATAACCACTACTTACAAATGATTAATAATTTACCAATAAATAATTTTATTTAATTTATTAAATCAATTTACTAATAATCAATTTATTAATGATTAATAATCTACTAATTTCAGAATATTATATTTATACCACATCACTATTATATTAATGTCTATAATGTTTAATTTATTAATAATAAATTTAATTTGTGCAAAATTCAGTTTAAAAAGTTAATAAATGAGAAGTTCTTGGATGATGCCATATGATGACAGCTAGAACACTTAAACAGCCATTCCCAACTATTTCCTCAAGAGAATTAAGCCCTAATAATTCAAAGAATCCATTGTATGTAATAATTAGTTTCTCTCCAATACATCTAGAATGGGACTAGTTATGTACAACCCTTGGGAGAACTTAAAAAAAGAGATGCTCCAAGTCACTTTCTGTGCAATAACATGAAACTCAGAATATGATAACTTAAAAAGCTTGGTTATGAATACAAAACTTCCAAATACTTCAGTATGAAATCCAGGATGATTATTACAGTTGCTACAGTTGTTGCTTTATAATATGAGAATACAAAAGACAATTTCTGCTTAAAGTTCGGTACATTTTGGAATGTTTATAATTTATGCAAAGCATTAGCTGGAGAATTCAGTCGTCAACTGAAATTCATTGATAATTTTACTCATCGATATTTACATTTTCTACTTGGCCTTTGACTTAGCTAAGTTTATTCCCAACCAGGCATGGCTTATTGAATATAAGGGTTGAAGTCATCATTTGGCAGTGTATCTCCCAAGAGAATACTGATGTTAGTTTTCTTCCCTGCATCCTCCTGAAATTCTGGGCGTTTTTACTTCCTCAGTATTTAAAACCAAATTTCACTTTATTACTTATTTTTCTTCTTTTTTCCTCTCATTTTATATCCATATTAGAAACTGAGAAAGTTTTTTTGTTTTTTCCAGCCATGGTGTAACAGTTACTGCTTATTCAGTTATACTTATAAGTTTAATCTTTTCTAGCCTGGCACTTTATACAAAGTATTATTCAGCCAATGACTGAAAGAAGCTATATGTATCCTTAAAAGTTTCTATCTGAAGATTAGTAATATCAAAATTTGTATACAAAGACTCAACTCTCTAAATGGTTGTAATGAGAACATAGTGAAGGAAAAGAAAATAAGATGCAAAATCATAAGAAAAAAGCAAGGTTAAAACAAATTAAATACTATCTTGACCAATCTATTTAGATTTTAAAACTTAAAGCGATCTTCTTAAGGGATTATCTTAATCAAACCAGATAATTTATTTAAGGGTATGTGGTGAAATTACTAAAGAAAAAAAAAAACCTCTAAGCAATGAGTTTCTTAGAAGCCATGTGATGAAAGTTCATTGCCATATAGTACCAAATCTTAATGATGTTAGAGTACCTCACATACAGGAGAAACTCTATTAAATTCCCAGCTGGAAGTGGCCCTTACTCTTTCACAAAAAAGCAGTATTGAGGGTCCTTCAGAATGAAAACACATCTTCTGTAATGTTATAGCCTGCCTCCAAGGATAGGAGGAAGGCTGTATGCTTGCAAAATTGTTAATGCAAAAGCCTCTTGTCTTACCCGTTCCTCTGAACTGCCTGTTGCATCATGGGAATAATTGATGAGACCAGGGATGGGCTGCTCACCGTGTGCCATGATAACAGCAGGACTGGTGTAGAATGGATGCTTCTAATGCACAACACACAACAACTATGAATATAGTGACAGGAAAACATGAAACTATACAAGCAAAATGACTGGAAAGAAAAAAAGGGTGAAAACAAATGGAACAATGAAATGTCAAAAATTCAGTACAATGACAAAATCAGCTTTGATTTCAAATGGTATAAGCTTTTGCTTAAGGTTGAAATCAATGGTACTTTTTACCCTTTTAGTTAAGAGTAAAAATAAGAGAACACATAATGATTTTAAAATGTACCTGTTTCATTCATCAGTCCCATAAAAACAAAACAGAACAAAACAAACTTTACACACAACTTAAATACTTACTATCCTTAAGAACTTGATGGATCACTGAATGGATCTGGAGATAGAATGATCCAGTCTTCAGTGAAAGAACCACCTACTGGTTATCGGAATAGACACTTCAAAAGGATCTCTATGATCCTTTCCAATACACATGTCAAAAAAAAAAAACCCAATAAAAAAACCCCTCATGCTAATCTCATAGACAAAATACCTGGATGAGCCATAAAACTTCAGAAATTACTTCACATAGTGGTTAGATTTTCAATCTTTCTACTTCAAGACTTTAAAGTACACAAGATGGATTATACTAGGTATGGATAATAATGTAAATCATGATCTGTGACTTAATTAAGATGATGACTAAATTTACTTAAGTATGGTACTCTATTTACTCCCAGAATTGCCCAAAGAGAATCTGTAGCACTTGGTACTGTTCTAGTAATATTTTTTACTTTATTAAATGGAAAATACAAATATCTTACATCAATTTCTTCTCTATACAACTAGGGTAATATGTGTCCAATAGTTAAATAAGTGCTTAGTGAATTGCTAAAAAGTTCTGTTTTTAAAAAAATATTTATGAATTTTTCTAATTCTTGAATCATCTTGGTCTCTTACCTTCAGTTTGGGGCTTATTTAAGAATTTGTAAATATTTGATGTTCTGAATATATAAACACTGTATATTTAGTATCATCACAAAAATGACATCTTCAAACAGTTCTTAGATGTCACATTGTTTATCATTGCAGTTATTACTTCAATAGGTAAGAGCAGTATCTTTAATGACCCAGAACTCAACAAACCTCAATGCCTTCAAGAACTCTACATAATGGAGGGAATATAGCTGTGGAGTGTCACGAATATCCCAGTTCTTTTTTAAGGATGCTCTGACTTGGTATTTAACTTATGGAAGAATGGGATGCAAAGAGGGATGAAATCAATACATTTACCTGTGGGTCCTTTAGATCTCTGGGTCTCTCTCAACAGGCTTACCTTGGCAGCAATGGCTGCTGCAGTTATATGTGATGAAGAACTGTCTTCTGTTGAAGCAACACCACTGTCTTTCTTCTCTTCTTCCTCTTCTTCACATTGAACCCCTTTGTCTTCAGTCTGTTTATGGGGGCTAGTTGTGGGAGGAGGGGAAAGAGGTGGTGGTGGGGAAGGTAAATCTTCAAGTTCATCATGCACTTCCTTTACTTTTACAATGGCGTCACGTAAAAGGTCAATGGCATGAGGTAGAGCTGGCAGTATGAACTGAAAGCATTCCTGTATGCAAGAGGAAGAAAAATGAAGATAAAGCATTTTTATAGGCATACAGAATGGTAGCAATCAAGTTTGTTTGTGATTTTGGATCTGTATTTCTCTCCATCCGTCTTAAGAATGAATCATATTTAAAGCATTGTTTTTGTAATGTGAAATATTAAATAAGCATGGCATATATTATAGTATCCTCCCTAAGCTGAAGAACTACAATACTATACAAGTACACAGTACTTTTTTTAAAGTAAAATTTCTACACAGCTTTGGGGTTTAAAGATACCGTTTTTACCTTTATGGTTAGAGCAGAGTACTAGAACTAACAAAGCAACTGGGTAGTGAACTGTTTTATTCAGAGAGCTAAAGTTCTGACTATCATCATAAAGTATAGCTAGGCAACATGCACAGTATGTAAAAACAGATATAAGTTTGTACAGAGCACTACATAAAAATCAATATAGTCTCTTGCTTTAAAAAAAATTTTTTTTTTGTGAAGGAAAGTACAGCATTATTGCAGGGTGCCAAGGAAAGAGAACAGGCAGCTAATGCTCAAAAGATGCCCACTATTACCAATAATGTACCAGCAAAAGAGAATAGGTAAGAACTTTAAAAGGGGAACATACGGCCAGATACGTTTAGGAAATATGTTTCGGCAAAAGTCTTTCTTTTCTATATTTAAAGTAACTTACCTTAAAATCTCACAAGTAAAGAAATATCTTAAAATTTACAGAGGGCTATACCTGGAATACCTGGAAGGTACTTAATCTTTTAAACTACTGGTAAAGATTGTAAAGAATTTATCCTTGATTAAAAAGAGGTTTGGCCTTTACTCTCAGCTTCTGGGAGGTGATCTGGAGTTCCTTGTAGTGTCATGCCTAATAAGGGTGTCTCTGTTTGCCTGGGGGCTTTGGCCAGTGAACAGTCACAACAATGTAGTTTATAATGAGTGCTTTGGGAAACATGGTCAGTTTTGTCTCTGGAAAAAACTGGGAGTGGCTAGACTAAAGCTCAATCTTGCAGGCAATATGTGATCAAGTCTCGATAAAAACTCGGGACACCAAAGGCAAAGAGGTGTGTGCCTAGTAGCAAAACTCGGTGACTACTATCTTATTTTATTGCTAAGAGGAGATAATTCTGTCCATGACTCCATGGAAGAGGATGACCAGAAGTCCCCTGTTTGGTATCTCTTTTAGTCTCTGCCCTATGTGCTTCCTTCCTTGAGTGATTTCAATCTCTGTTCTTTCCCTGTAATATACCATGACTGTGAGTATAACAGCTCTCAGTGAGTTCTGTGAGTCCTTCTAGTGAATGATTAAAAGTGAGGGTGATTTTAGAAATTCCCTTAATGACAACTGGTGTCAGAAGTGACGGTAGTCTTGTGGAATGCTCCAACTTTGTAGTTGGCTAACTTCTACAGTTGGCCAAACTCCTCACAGTTGGTGCTAAGAAGTGGGATTTGATAGAAAGACCCTGACCCACTGAAACATGTGATCTAGGAAGTGGAAGGAAGAGAGGATAGGGGATGAAGAATCTTTAGTACCTGGATGAACACAGGGTCACCCACAGTATGGAAATGCAGCTTCAATTAGTTACTGGAGATAAAATTAGCAATTAAATTTTGAAATGAAAGATCTAACTCCTAAGGAGTTGTATCACTGGATGCATAAAGAAATACAAAATAACAAGAAACAAGGTAAATATACAACCCCCTGGTTAATGTTATCTGTACTAGCCAAAACAAAAGTAATGGAGAATATTGGGGTGGATCCTGAGACTGGGCCAAACTTTGATTCTGGATAGTCTGCTATATAGCTCCTAGCCTCAGAGCTTCTTCCAAAGCAAAAATTTACGTTGAAGCAATAAATAGTGAATAAACTTAGACTGATTCATTAAAAAATGGGGAAGAGAAAAATAAGAGATGTAAGGGACTTGTCCTAGCAGTGTGAAAGTATTTAAATGGTTAGGAAATATATGAATAAAGTGAGCATCAATAAAGGCAAAACAGATTTCTTAAAGAAGCACTGTTGTGGGTTGAGTGGACAGATGGGAGCCCTTTCTGGTCTCCTAACATTCAGGGGTCCTAAGTAAATCTCTACCCTAGTTTGGAGGAATTTCAAAGCTAGGAGGCAAAGAAACCTTACCTTGAATCACCTTAAGTGATGGTCCCATAATCTAATCAAGATAATACCTCATAAAAGGGTCTGGATCCCTTGGCCCAATCCAGGTCTAGAAATTCAAGTCTATATGCACACAAATCATGAGACAGAGAAGAGACTTTTCTAGGATTCGTTGACATGGGAGCTCCATGTACTGTGATTCTAAAACCTACTGAAGTCCTGATGAGGGGTTCAGTTAGACTGGGAGGATATAGGAATGCAACAGTTGATGGGATTAAGGTGAAAGTTTGGATGAGAATCAGAATGTCTGGACAGAGAACTTTATGTGAAATGATGAGTCTCCTTTACCTGAATGTATCATGGGGATGGATGTTGTATTTAGAGAATTCTTCCCTACTTTATATTGTAAAACAGCAAGACACATAAATCCATTCTTCCTGCAATGTAATTGGACATGCTAAATGGGACCACACAGGTTAATCTGCTGTACAACTGCTCTGTGGGGGGTGAGGACTGGGGTTTATAGCAAAAACCTGTGAGTGCCACCCAGCAACAACTGCTGGGATTTTGGATCAGAAAATTTCCATTTGAGAGACAATTACTTGCTTGCTATTGGACTTTAATTGAGACTGCCCCTATGACTGAAGAACATAAAATAATCTTGAAACCTAAAATATCCATAATGTCTTGGGTAATGTCAGAGAAATGCTCTAATGGGGAAGGCAATGCCCAGGAGAGTTCCATAATAAGATGGAAATGGTGCATATAGAATCATGCTACCAGGAGAATGGAAGGAGGTACTCACGAGCAGGCAGCCTCTTTTCACCTAGGGCCGACTTCGGAACCACCTGAGCAGCTGCTGGATCCTATGGCCACTTGGGCCACTTGGGCGGAGCCCTATAAACAGCTTTCTATTGATCAACAAAGAGCTGCTTGGTTTATGGATGGCAATTCCAGGGTGAAGGGACAGCATCCTGTTTGGAAGGCCGCCACTCTGATTGAAGAAGGTAAAAACAAATCAGCTCGATGGGCTGAACTGCATGTTTGCCCCTATGTTTGGGTTTTTACTGACTCATGCGAAGTGTCCAAATAGCCTGGCCATATGGGCAGGCAGATAGGCAATGGAAAGCTGGTCTATTAAAGGGATACCTATAGGGGCATGGCCCTATGGAAATCACTCAGGGAATATAAAGGGTATATTAAAGTAGATCATGTTAATACTCATCAGAAAAACTCCCTCCCAGAATTGGAAGTTGACTAGTACTGGTAAGCAGATATTCTGGTGTGCTTACTTGACATGGCCACCTGGGCCCATGAAATGAACAGACACCAAGGGGCTGCAGTAATGCAGAAATGGGCTGAATCTAGACATATTTTTCTTACACTTTCTGAGGCAGAAAATGCCAACAAGAACTATTCCGTCTGCTAAAAAAAAACATAGATGGCAGAGGGCTATGCAGCTCATTCCACAGGGAGAAGGTCCTGCACATAGCTCGCAAGTTGGACTGACGCTAGTAGTCCCTGGAGGCTAAAAATGGGTACTAGCAGGAATAGACACTTATTCTGGTATTAGCTTTGCTTATTCAGTTGTAGATGCAAATGCTCAGTGTACTATAAAAGGATCAGAACAGAAGATACTGTATCAATTACTGTGGAGACACATTTCTTTAGACCAATGAAGGCACTTTCATCTTCAGAGCAATGATATGATAGAAAACTGAAATAGGCAATTTAAAGATTTATTGTCTAAAATGGGAGGAGATAAAGGCCTGAAGCCCTCATCAGTGTGTGATCACACAAAGGCCAAGGGAGGATTCCCACTAGATAGATTCCTCTACTTTTCTGAGAAGAAGGGGTGTGGGAAAATGCCAGTATGACTTATTTCTTTAGGGTTATACTTTTTCGTTTTCCCCCACATGACTTCAACTTTCTTTTTTTCTATTTGATGCACTGGTCCTAGGAACAGGGCTGCAACTGTGAGTGCCAGAAGCAGGTTGATTTTCAAGCAGAAACCATAACTAAATTTTTAAACTTTTATGTCAGAATTCCTAAGGGCCTGATTGGGGTAGATTGTGTCTCACTCTATCTGGACAAATTGGGATTGACAGTAAATGAAGTTTTATATTGCCTGGTGTTTCAGATTGCCCACAAGCTCTGTGCATATGTAACCTTACCTTATGTGAATGGAAATGGACTTCGTGGGAAGCACTTGCCAAACTAGTATTACTGATGCCAATCTGGGCCAGCCCAGTGGCCAAACCAACTGTCTCATTCAAAGACTTTCAAAGGAAAAGTGTGGGTGTAAACGGAGAGAAGGAGGAATGGTAGCTGAAGGTAAAGGAGTGAATAAATGGGTTATGCAACAAAGGAAATCCAGTATTATATTGGTGCCTTAAAAGAAGCTTAGAACAAGAGACGACATCATTTCTTAGCCTATTCGTAGCAGATGCCAGAAAGGGAAAATCCATATGTTGTTGAGACTACTCCTGCTTTTGGAATCTGACAAGTGTGTAACCTGAGGAGCACTGTTCTGGAACACATTTTGATCACATGACATGATGATGATAGACTAACTGTTAATGTCTATGTAGGATTTCAGTAATGTGCCAGTATCTTCTGACTCTTATTTTTCAGGTTATATCTACCACTACACTGCAATATATAATAACAGGCATTATTAGTAAGATCAGCAAGATTAAAAGGCTGATATTGAGGGTCATATGTATCGGAAATTTGAGTTAAATCCTCCTCAAAATATAATACCATTGGGAAATGACTGGCCTGAGCAAGAGAGCTAATTTCTATGGTAAACAGTCCTGTGCAAATGTATCATAGGGTACAAGTAATAGTAGATTAGGTGGAAAATAAGTAAATGAGCACAAAATTATGAAAATGCGTGCAATGGCTTTAGAGGATGAATTACCCATTTTTCTAAATCTATTCAGAATACACTGGCACTTCCAAATCTTAGGAATACTGTTGTTATGTCTGTAATATAAACGCTATACTAAATAAAGAAGCCCAGCCAGACAAATATGATTGTTTTGCTATAAGAGAGAGCCCTGGCCAAAGGTCAGAGGGTAGCTTGTGTAATGAAGAATTAATCTTACCCAAAGGGAGTCTGGCCTTTACTCAGTTACTGGGAAATGACAGGAGTGCCTCTGTTTGCCTGGAAACTTTGGCCACCAGGCAGTCTAACAGTGTGATTTATGAAGGAGGCTTTGGGAAATGTGATAACAGTTCTTCTGAAAAGTATGGAGACTAAAGGTATTAGCCCAGATTCTGGGAAAGGCTAGAGACTAAAGGTCAATCATATGGGCAGTTTGTGATGAGCCTCAGTAAAAATTCTGGATGCTAAGGGCTTAGAGCTTCCAAGCTAAGCAATAATCCCTCTGTGGTTACTGTGCTGATACCAGGGTAATGTGTTCATGACTCCACAGGGAGAAGATAATAGAAGCTCTCCATTTGATACTTCTCCTTTATTCTGTCATATGCACTCCTCCCTATGTTGATTTGAATCTGTATCCTTTACCTGCAATAAACCATAACTGTGAGCATACTATCTTTCGAAAAGTTCTGTGAGTCTTTCTCATGAATTATTGAAACTGAGGGTGGTTTTGGGAATGCACTGAATTGCAAATGGCATCAGAAGTGAAGGTAGTCTTGTGGAGTGCTCCAACTTTTTGGTTAGCTAATTCTCAGAGTTGGCCAAAATTTTTTACACTAAACCATATAAATCTCAAGGCTGCTTACCTGAGATCCTTTCTTGCTACCTGGCAGGTTAATTATAAGAGTTTTCCCTCTGATTCCACATACAGGCCTGGAAGGAAAGAGAAACTAAATGAATACTGAATTAGAATGAATGGTTGGTTTAAACACATTAAACAACAAAGATGATCATTGTAATTTACATGTGAACTACTGCGTTAGGAATAAAATTGTTATAGCTAATATTCACCAACAGTTACAAAAATTGGGCATTCAGGTTTTACAACAATGGTTAGTGTGGTAGATTATAAAAATGTACTGAACAAGAAATCAGAATAAATTAGCAACTTTAAATAAATAATGGCCAAATTATCTTTTTTCTTTGACTTCAGCCTCTTCATATCTCTTACCATACTACGAATTCAATGAGATAGTGTATTAAAAAGTGACTAGCATAGTAATATCTATGTTCAAGGGTCTAACACATAAGGCTCTCACAAGTTGAGTGTGATATTTGAATTCTTGCTTCTCAGGGAGTCTATATGTTTTAAAATAAAATAAGGTCCCACAAATCAGTAGCAGTGGGAGAATTTAGAGAGCTCAGCTGTTCACAGATCCATTGATAAACACAGTCAATTTAAAGTAGGAAGTTCTTCCAGAGAGCACTGTAAATTTTCAGGCCACTTTTAAATCAAGTGTTTAGATAAGAAACATAAATAGAAGAAAAGCATGAAAAACCAGAATCAAGAGTTGAAGGCCTTAATTTTATATAAGAGTTGGATTCATGCTCTTCTAACAACTGGCTATGTTACTCTGACCTGGTAACATACCATGTTCATCATTTGAAAACAAGAGGATTGGATCAGATTAGTCTATTTCTAAAATTTTACAACTAAGATTGCAAGTCACATTAGAATGGTATCCTAAAACTTCCATGATTGAGTTTCTACTTTAACTCTTTGAAATAACCTAAAATTGTCATATATTTTATTGTTTTTTTCTTGTCCCATTCACAAAGAGTTCATAGTTATTTATTTAAAACTTTCCACATTCTTTTCTTTTTAATTGAGATACAAGTGACAAATAACATTGTTTTGGTTTAGGTATACAACATAATGATTTGATATATGTATACACTGTGAAATGATTATCACAATTAGCTAATATTCATCACCACAACAAGTACAATGTTTTTCTTATGATGAGATCTCTTAAAATCTACTCTCTTAGAAACTTTCAAGTATACGATACAGTATTAACTATAACCAATATGGTGTACATCACACCCGGGATTTAGTAGAAGTTTGTGCCTTTTGACCACCTTCACCTATTTTGCCCACTCACCAATACCTGACACTGCCAACCAACAACCTGTTCTCTCTATCTATGAGTTGCTTATTTTTAGATTGTACTTATAAGTGAGATAATACAGTATGATTTGTCTTTGACCTATGCCACTTAGCATAATGCACTCAAGGTCCATCCATTGTGTCACAAGTAGCAAGATTTTCTTCCTTTTTATGACC